AAGAAGCTTTGAGTTCTTTGTTAAACGCATCACATTTGCGTGTTGCCACAAATAAGAAGAGTTTATGAATGCACTAACTAAGCATCCCTTAGTTACATTTAATTAATTACATCCCTTAATTAATCACCAATATTACACACGTTATAGAATAATAGTAAGACGGTTAACATTTATAATTTAGTATGTCAATAAATATATAAATAGTACTCCCTCCGTCCCATTTAAAGGTTCTCGTACACTATTCTCCGGTCAACGTACATTGTTCTTAATCTTTTACTTTATATATCGGAAGTTTATGAAATTTAATTTATTTTTTGCAGGTTTCGTAGCGTTTTTAATGTAGTTTCTGAATATGTAAATTTTATTTACTAAAAATAATTCTATTAATGACATGGATCCGTTAACTTTATAATCAGTCAAACAACGTAAATCGTGTGGGAACCTTAAAGTGGGATGGATGAGATGCTTGGCTTGGACCCTACGTGTAGCAGTAGTTAATTTCCGGAGTCTCCTGCGCTCCACTTCCACTTTGTAAGGACCAAGGAAGGGAGTGGTGATACTGATACATAGTACTATAATATTACTTGGATGAAGTTTACCAAATTTCTTTGTTTTTTCACTTTTTATATGACTCAAATAGGACTAATAACAAAGTTAATTGCATAAATAGGATCAAAAATCATACCTATGTTCAGGGGCGGACCCAGGAAATCCGTTTTGGGGGTTCAAAATATTTTTTGGGAGCGAAAATTATTTTTTGAGGGGTGAAAATTATTTTTTGTATATATATAGTTGCCCCCTGGGTCTGTACTACGGTCTGTCCCTGCGTTTCGTAAGACTTAAAAGCCCTCAAACGTATTTGAGACACTTTCAAACCGTAGAAATATAAGAATGCGAAAGAATTCTTTCCAAAAATAAAAATACGAAAGAATTGTTTTATTAATGCATATTTTGTAGGATTTATCAATGAGATAAAACATTCTTTCTACTGAAAGATCTATATTTTAAAACAAAGTGTGCAAACGTTGTACAAAGAGTGGTGTACAACCAACAATTTTGTAATTTTATCAACATATTGATGGATATCTATACACCTATATGCATGGGCGGAGCTAGGGGTGACCCAACCTAGGCCATGGCCCACCCAAATTTAAAAATTGCTTACTTTTTAAGGTAAAAAATTTCGCGTAAATTTTTTTAAAAAAATATTCTTTGTATTAGCCCAGTCCGGGCCAGCCTGACCTAGTGCTCTGGCTCCGCCCCTGCCTATATGAAACGATTACGGGGTAATATTTACTCAACTGTGATTAACCAATTGAAAACTGTTTTGACCAAACTAAAAAAATATATTAAAATATATGAGGGTCAGCACACTACTTAATTCATATTCAGATCAGACATAGTATTCTGAAAATTGTATTTATTTTCCTAAAAATAGAATACGGTGTACAAGTATTTATAATCATCATAAGTTCACATATAAACAACCACACATATATGTCTATATATGCGTATATTTATTTCTAAGTTTCTAAATACAATTAATTATGACGATAAAAATACAATTAATTATATGTAATACTCCGTAGTCCGTAGTACACAACAACTATCCAGTTGCCATTAAACATGAATCAAATATAAAGCGGTGGCATTGGACACAATGGTTACAGAGCGCCTCAGCTACTAATCTCGTTTATTTTTGAAAAATATTTTTTGAAACACTCAGCCTCCTAGAAGGCCTTCTGGAAGTAGAAAGCAAGCTAGACGGTGTCCATTATTTTCAATTACAGGTCAGCGGCACATCTGTGATCCATATTTGCAGTGGAGAGATGATTTTATCTCATTGTGATGTGGCAATGCATTTCTCATCAATCGATGGTACCACTAAAAGATGCTCTTAGATGAAATTTACCAAATTTCATGTTTCTAATACACTTATTATATTGAGCTTAGTTTAAGTGTACGTTTCTAATTATGACCATCAACATATCAGGTTTACATTTCACACTAGTGTATTACCCGTGCGATACATAAGGAATTTTTTTTGTATTTGAAATTAATTTTATTTGGCATATATGACACATAATAAGTCGTCGTGAATTATAACATAGCAAGAAACCACTCAAAAAGATTAATTTTAAGGTGACAAATGCATTTCACAAAATATTGTTTTTATCAGACTCTTGTGCACTCGGCTCTTTATAAATTATAATCCAAACATGTGAGTAAAGATAAGAATCTACCTATATATAAAACAGTGTTCTAATGTGCATGGATTTCAAATGTTTATATGTGTGACGGTATTTCATGCATTGTACAACACATCCAAAAAGATCTATCAAGTTTGTAAAATATATTTTGAGAAATCTATTCAGCGGAGTGGCCAGACCCGTTTCTGCTTACCCGACCCACATTTGACCCAGAAGTTTGGGCGGGAAAGTTGTTAAGAATTTCACTCTGTTTTGTATTTAGATAGACTCATAGACTAGACTTCAATTAAGTAACATACGAACTAATGCTTCAATGGATCATTAATTAGGTCTAGAAATTTATTTGGTCCGGATGTTTTTCCTGGTATGTAATAGATACGGAGTTTTGTTGAGCTCATTTTTTCAAGAACTTTTTTTAGAATGTTGTACTTAATTAGTATAACACTTAAATATTAAGAATTCCAACCCACTTTTTTCGGTTTTCACACCATTCGATACTACAGAAGAGTTTGGCATTCAGCGGTTGGCGGATAACAGATTATGTTAGTGGGTTGTCAATAATGGATTATGTCGGCGTGTTTGACTAGCGGAATAAATTGGCGGGTTGTCAGAAGATGTTTGATAATTTAGTTGTTTGGTCATAAAATTAGTTGAAAACGTCATTTTTCAAAACGTCAATCCAAAACTCTCCTATTAACAGCGTTTTGGACGGCTTATGCCGAACAACTATTTACAAAAAAAACTTTTCACTTATTGAAAACGCAAAAAGTGGTCAAACCGGCATTTTTCAAACATTGTTTAGCAAACACCCCCTACTTCTTCACTTTTTCGGATTTGTTGTACAATGTATTAAATGTATTAGCCTTCAAATCAAATCAAGGAACATGTCATCTGTTGTTTTGAAACAATCTAATGTTTAATTTCACGGGTTCATTAAATTAGGTCTAAATTGTTTCATCCAATTATGCTACTTCCTCCAGTCCTAAATAAACTTCAGATTTTACTTTTCTTGCACAGATTTAGAATAAAATTCACACTTCTATTTTTGGTATCTATAGAATAAAGTTATTCTTATACTCATACTTTATTACCTACTTTACACTCATTTTGTCTCTCCCACTACACATAATCTACTTTTTGTAAGAATATGATCACTTTCTTAAAAATCGTAAAATCAAACTATGAAGTTTGTGTAGGGCATGGGTAGGGGATCGAGGTGGGATGGCAGGTAGGGGTAACCGGGGTAACGAGGTATGATAGGGGGTAAGGGTTGGGTCAGGGTAGGGGGTACTTGTAGGGCATGGGTAAGGTACGAGTACGAGTAGGGGAAGGGGTAGGGGTTACGGGTGGGGGACAGGTAGGGTTTGGCGAGGTAGAGGTTTGGGTACGATACGAGGTAGGCCGGCCTGGGTGGGGTCAGGGTATGGGTAAGGGGGACAAGTATGGTAGGGGCAGGGGTAAGGGTACGAGAAAGAGTAGGGTGTCAGGGTGGGGGTGCGGCAGGGGGTAGGGGTACAAGGACGGGTAAGGACTGTGTAGGGATAACAACAAGGGTAATTGGGTAAAGGTAAGGGAATATGTAAGGTTGTCTGCGAAAAATGAAAAAGTTTAAATTGTCTTTCAATTGAAACATGTGGGTGGTATGTTTAATAACCAACACTTTAAGCACGTGTGTGGGTTAGTAAGCATCTTTTTAAGCCGCATGTGTGTTTACTTCACATTTTTTACTAACCTAATTATGATTTTAGCAACGAAGTAAATGCGTCCTTAGTAAATGGCCTTGATCGAATAGATTTTTTCAAATAGGCGTGATACTTATAAATATACATTTTCTCTTAAAAGAACAAAATGTTCCTTTCAGCATTATTATCTTCTTATTACTAGAAGTCGGTCACAGGACTTAAACATGTGACATCTCTATCATACAACAAAAACATAACTGGTGCACTAGGGCTCCCCCTTCAATAAAAGTGACTTTATAATATCTAATTTAATATGCAGCCGTCATACCACCATAGTAGTATTTTTGGAGTGATAAGTAACCATCATAATGTTCATCTTATAGGAAAGCCCCTTTAAATGTGCAGTCAATGTAAATATATGATACTTTAAGAGATCTTACTTCAACCGTTTGTAACTTGTAAGACTGTAATATTCTGAATTCTCTGTTGTGTACATTAAAACATATAACCACAATGAATTCGAATCTAGTGTTAACTTGGCATTGTTATGTACCAAACGGGGCATTTGATTGTTTGCTTTTCGATTACCGCTCCGACCAAGAATAAGTGTTGTTTTGGATACTAAAACAATATTAACAACTCTGGTTTTCGGAACTTTTGGGATATTCAGGATCCCATGCTGAGATATAACGTAAGACAAAAATGTGGTGGTTGGTACAAAGAAGGAACGGCTAGGCATAAAAGTGGCGCTTTTAGATTTGGAGGGCTCAACACAGTTTCTTGTTTATCATCTGATTTTGAATATGAAAGACTAATCAGCATGTAAAATAACAATAATTAATACTAATATGCAAGTTAAATAAATGATAATTTTAGTAAAGTCTTTAAATATGTAAAGTTTAATAATAAATACTACTGAAATATATTAGCAGAGTTCATGCCATCTTTTATCGAACCCACCTGAATCGTGACTGCCAAGCTGATTCGAAATAGATGAAGTAACATACTACGTATATATGAATGCATTAATAACCAAATCGGTCATTTTGCTGTCTCATTTTTACCACATCAGTAATAATGCTGTCATTTTTACCACATCAGTCAGCTCGTGACGAAAAGTTGCATAAGCAGGCAATTTCCATCAAATTTTCAAAATTACAGTGAGGAACATCCAGTCAACCACTCCCAACTACATACACCAACGTATTATTGAAAATGCATCATAACTATGTTATCAGTGGGGTGAATCAAGAGAATAAAAGTGCAGTTGGGAAGGACAGAGAACTAGTAAAATACAAAATGTACTTTAAAAAAATAACATAGATAGGCTAAATTGGCCATCATTCTTGTAGTTACTCTGTTTTACATCATATATGGAGGAATAACATAATCTCTAGATTCTCTGATATTTAGAAAATCAGTCTCTTGTAATGAGATGCCGTACAAATAATGTTCAGCGAACGTCATATATCTCTGAGGGAACCAATTGCAAATTGTGATGATTGGGAGACCTGATCCGAGAGTGACAGATGATAGCCAAAACCGATTCTTGATTATCTTATGTCATTTGTGTGTTAGACAGAGATGTTCACATCCGAATCACCAAAGCTTCTTTCTCACCCAGAGTAGGAGGAAAACAACTCCAAGGACAACAGCTACTGGGGCCCATTTCCGAATTAAAGCCTTGTATCATTTGAGAAATAGAAGCTATTTAATGTGTTACATCGATGCAAATATAACTTATTTTGTTTATTCATCCCTGTATTTTTTTATGTTGTTTTCTTTTTTGTCCCCCTACCATAAAATAAAATGAAACTGGTGTGGCCCATGACATAAGATCAATGTTAACTTTCCCTGACACTTCTGAGAAAATTTTAACCATCTTTTTGATAAAAAATGATGTGGAACATCCGAGCAGGAATCCTATGAGCATTATCAGTTTCTTTTAAGATACAAGTTGATAGAGAAGGATTAAAAAGAAAAAGTCGTAGATTTTAAGGATAAGTTTCAAAATATAATAGGTAATTGTACAGAGAACTGCAACAAAAAATGAGACATTTGCAGATTAAAACTAACCTGACGATTCAAATCTTTTGCTTTATCGGCATAAATGCGAGATTCTGATGTTAAGCGGCTGGACATTTCACTAACCTCTGCAGAAGTAAAGTCATATGGCAGCAATTAAAAGAATTAATATTATTAAGCAAAAAAAATAATGAACAGTCCCTAAATCGTAAAACTTTTGCCTTCAAACAATTATTAACTTACGGTCCAACTTTTCACCAACACCAAGAACCTCTTGTACATTCCGAGTCATTATTTGATGAACTTCATAAAGTTCATCATTCAACTTTGTGATGTTGCGCTGTGTTCTTGTGTCCTGATAAAGTTTCTTTGTCTTTTGAATAAATGCATCTTTAATCAAATTCAGAAAGAGGAAGATCAATAACATTCCAAAGATAACTATATTGATATAGCCACAAAAAATTATTATAGGGTCTTAATAGTTATTACCAAATTTAATAAAAGCGTAAGGTCTAGCAGCAGTTTCAATTTGATTCCCATTGACCGTCTCAAATTCATTCTTAAGGTCTTCCAGATATTGAAAGGCAAGCTTCTTAGGATAAGAACGCTCGCACATTGTTAAGTAACAAACACGTCCTTCAATTATATAACTGAAAATCTATGTTAAGAAAACATTACAGAAACATCATGTTTTTACAGGACAAATTGAGACGACTCTTCCAAACAAGTAAGACATTAGCAGACGTACATATAAGCCTCAAACCAAACCATAATGCTGAATGTCAAGAAATTGAAACATACATGAGCAGACACAAATATAAGTCTGAAACCAAACCTTAATGCTGAATGTCAAGAAATTGAAAAATACATGAGCACAGAACAATATGCTAAAGAAAATGCATTGGTGAATTCTATTTCGGAAGAGGCTGTTTGAATCGAAGTTCTGGGGGCAGGAGTTGGGAAAGCTTAGTCTATATCTTGTGATATATTTATAATATGTGATTGTGTGACACATTTCAATCACCTTTTATTCAGTTCCAAAAACATTTTATTTATCAAGATATCTACTAATGCCCCCAAAGCTTCCCTCTCCAAAACATGCCATCCAAACAGTCCCAAAGAGATATCTATTATCAAAAGTGTGAGTACTGATTAGAGAGCCCATATGCATATAATTCCCTCATGAAAAATCTTGAAACAATAATAATTGAAGGGATGTTAGCATTACCAAATGAACAATTCACCTAAACAAACAACTTTTGGAAATGCCAACTGCCACAATACAATGACAGATCTCAGGTCTAATAAGGAAATCACTCCAATTCACCACATCGTCATCATCACCACTGTCTACATTAATCCCAAGTTCCCAACTAAACCTGTAATGAACTAATGACACAAAAGTATCAGGGAGTTATTAGCAAAGGAGACTTTACTCCACAAAGGATACTGGAATATGTAAGGGCCAGTCTCAATGGACATTCTAGAAGGACCATTATTGCCGCGTGAAAGGTTCTTGAACAAACTTTTGACCTGCTGTTTGTACCTGTCCACTTCCGGTACATCACGCCCATCATCCAATCCCTCGACTAAAAGGAGGCCATCGGTCACACGGGCAATCATGGTCAGTTTCACCATCTTTCCTTCACAAGATCAAAGCTACAAGCAGGAAGGATGAAAGAACATTTAACAGATGTATACCAGAGTCTTGTTGTGGGGCTCAAAGAGCTGGTGGTGATACCAGACCAACTCCATCAAACACACCCACTTCTGAAAAACCACTATCTCTTCTCTCTATATATATAAAAAGCTGGACCTCCTGATAATGATGACGTCAATATGACATCATCGTGGAGTCATCGCGGGATGATGTGGCACGTGCTTGCAGTTGATCTGCAGATTTTGGCTCTCCTCCGTACGAAGGCAACACTGCCAGCGTATTGGTTGGTCATTAAGCTACAGCTTATTACAACTCCTTAATTTAGGAAATTATTCATCGTTTAAATGAAGAACAGATCAATAACGAATCTCAACAACACCCTCTAACCATCTAAGCTTGATCTATTCTGATCAGGTATGGAAAGATATGTAAGAACAAACAAATCAAAAAAATAAGAAGACAGTTAGTAATAATCGACTAACCTCAGCACATTAGACGAACGGCGTGGTGTAGACTGTGTCCGACTAAGGGGAGAAGAGGAGATGGAAGCGGAGAGAGCAATCTAGCGTGCGACCGTCTGGCTGAGAGACGAGGAGATGGTAGATCGGATGAATTGGACCCGGATCAATTACTTCAAGACATTTAATTTAGGGCTGGGACCGGTTCGGTTCTTACTCAAAATGAGTGGAACCGTTATAAAAGTTTTAACTAATGAAATCGGTTCGGTTCCTATATAAAAAATCAAGAACCGTTATGGAACCGAACCGATAGTAAACGGTTCGGTTCTTCCTTTTACCGGTTCCTAGAATAATTTTTTCTCACTAAGAAGTAATACATAATTTACTTTCTACAAACAACATAAGTAATAGAACAAAAGATGATTTAAATTTTACAAACAACAGAAGTAATTTACTTTCTACAAACAACACGAGTATTAAAATTTTATTTGAATCTCTAATCACTTCAAACATCAAAGCTCAAACCTAATTAATGAATTGTGAACACTTAATAGAACAAAAGATGATTTAAATTTTCATGTAATAAATAAAACATAAAAATCATAGTAGTGTGGGAGCGATGAAAGTTACTCGTCATCATAGTAGCAAGAATAGGACGCCTACTTCAAGTCTTTCAAAACATAAAAAATACATTGAGTTTGTATTGTAGTGTGGGAGCGATGAAGGTTACTCGTCATCATAGTAGAAAGAATATGACGTCTACTTCAAGTCTTTCAAAACATAAAAAAATACAAGTTCGCATGTATAGATATATAAAAACATTGTTACATTCTATTGATTCATAATAAATCTAATAATTTGAAATATCATGAAAATAGTAAAGTAAAATATGTGCAATAATCTACAAGTTATTTGAGTTATTTTATATTTATAAAATTTATGTGATGGAACAAAACTTGATTTGTAGAAAGGAGTTTAATGTATTATATCAACCTCATGTACAATATTTATTACTTCGTTTTCGTTGATTAAATTAGAATTGTTAGTTAAATATCTTATATTGTTTTATTATTATTGTTGTGGTGGTGGTTATTATTTCTATTACATTATTATTATTATTGTTACTACTGCTACTAATATTATTATTATTTTTAATTTTTTAATAACGGTTCCATAACGGTTCCATGCATATATTTTTTATAGGAACCAGGAACCGAACCGTTATAACTCGTTTCGGTTCGGTTCCTACAAATAAGGTATTAATTGTTAACGGTTCGGTTCCTAGATGTTGTTAACGGTTCGGTTCCAATCGGTTCTACGGTTCCCGGTTCCAAAATCCCACCCCTAATTTAATTTAATTTCGTAGATGTAGATTTTAATTCTACTAGTACGGCACCCGTGCGATGCACGGTGCAGGAGTTTGTTGGATGGATATTATTAGTGTTAGATTTTAAAGTCTAATTGGAAATAAATTTAAATATCTTAAATTGTGACGATTAACAAATGAAACTGTAATATGTAATCTATTGTAATATGTAATGTGATTCTAATACAATATGAAATATTAGAGATTATGGAACACTTCTTTATAGACAACATTCATGGTTTCATTCATTGGACAATCATCTTCGTTTTGGATGAGGATTTTGAGACCTGCACGATTGGTAACTCTTGAGACGGCAACATACAATTGACCATGGCTGAAAATTGGTTTTTTTAGTAAGAGACCGACGTGAGTGAGTGACTGGCCTTGACTTTTGTTGATGGTCATTGCATAAGCAGTCATAATAGGGAATTGCCTCCTTTGAAATCTAAATGGCAGCCTAACATCTGACGGTGTCAAAGATAATCGCGGTATTAAGACTTTTTGTCCTGCACTAATACCATTGAGGACCCTTCCCTCTAAGATGTGATCACAAATCTTTGTTATGATGAGTCTTGTTCCATTACACAAACCCAATGAGTGATCAATATTACGCAAAAGCATGACCGGGGTACCGACTTTCAAAGTTAACTTATGATTTGGCACACCAGAGAGTTTAATACTATTCAAGAATTCTGTAGTGTGCAACTCTGCTATAAGATCATGTGTTGAATCAGATTTGCAAACACTATCTGAACTAAGATATGTTCTAGCAACTTCCTTGGAATTCAAACTTGTCATGTAGTCGTTGATAGAATCAACGACATCAAGGGCTGGAGCAAGAATAGCTCTGTCTCTCAAGTAACTCAAATCTGTACTTGATTTCAGATAATCGGGATAAATGGCCTCCACTATCTTAGCAATTGGATCTCCGGTGTATTTGATAAGGATGTCATCGGGTATTTTAATAGAGACACAACCATCGTTTAAATCCCCAGCTAATCCATCACCTATGCTTGCAATCCAATCGGCAAAAGCCTTCAAATCATAGGATTCTGCAGGACTGCTGACATTTTGGAGCCTCATGTTCTTAGTTAATCTAAGAACAGTACATTCCCCCCATAGATAAGATGAATTAATTGTTGCATTAACAACGTCTTGTCTACTGCCTTGTGGGATCACCGGTAGCACTTGTCGAAAGTCTCCCCCCAAAACAATTGTCTTACCACCAAATGGTAAGTTTAGGCTATTTGGGTTGGTGAATCTGAGCACATCACGCATGCTTCTATCCAATGCCTCAAAACAGAATTTGTGGAGCATTGGAGCTTCATCCCAAATGATTAATTTACACTTACTGATTAGTATTGCTAAAGGACTACCCTGCTTTATATTGCAAGTTGAATCTTCATTCAAACTGATCGGAATTGCAAAACGCGAGTGCGCGGTTCTCCCTCCGGGTAGTAGTAGAGAAGCAATGCCACTTGATGCCACATTTAATACAATGTCCCCTTTGGACCTCAATGCAGCGGATATAGTTCTCCACACAAACGTTTTCCCAGTTCCACCATATCCATAAACAAAATACATCCCTCCACATTCCGTTTCAACAGAATGCATGATCTTTTCATAAACAACACGTTGTTCATCTGTTAGACCTTGAAGCAAGGTATTATGTTCTTGATGCATCGCTTGCCGATCATATTGGAGTTCCTCCTCAACAAATCTATTATTGGAAAGGTAAGTTGAGTCTGACTTTGGATATGGCATTGGAGGAAAATCACGTAAACTCTTTCCTCGTCGTTGCAATAACATCTCCACCTCCGTTAATGCCGCCATTTGCAATTGATCATTGTCCATTACAAACCCTGTATGACATGAAAAGATGGAATGTCATTTCAACCACTAATCAAATCAATGCAGAGAACAAATTAGCACGAACCAATGGTTTACTGTGTTAATGATTGATAACAAAATAGTTGTATTAATATACCTGGATGTTGATACTTTTTACGCAATTTGTATTGAATATCTTCTGCCATGTATATCCAACACTTCTCCCAAACAAATTCTGGTCGACTCATGGATTCCGACCACAACAATACGACGAAAAGTATCCTTAGTGCAAATGCCGTTGCAAAATCACTTGCCTCAGTAAAACCATCAACAAATTCTTTATCGTCGTCCAAAAGCCCCAGAGCATAGCAAGTTTCACGGTATGAATTATATAACACACCGCCTATAGTCCTCAAATCTTCATGACACGTCACTCCCCGAATATGGTTCAATAAACACCTCATATAATAAGACTCCCCACATCCTGGTGGAACATAGTATATCCGACCAATAGAAAATGCTTTCTTTCTTGGAACCCATTCCCTTGTACCCTTTTTCCATACAAATTTCTGAGGAAATTCAGCATATGTCATTTGTCTCGCCATCTCGTATTTTTTGTTAGCTTCCATCCACCCCAAAAACATGCTATCTTTAACACTCCTCCCAACAACTACAAAATCAAGAGGCTCATTGTCTGAGAAGATCACAGTTTGCTCTCCTTTCAAGTGAAAACTAAGGCGTTCAACTGGTGGATTTTTATATTGAATCTCAAATCCCAATATACGCCATGCAGCCTCACACGAAGATATGTACCTACAGTCGTAATACATTTTGATTTCATCCACAGGTTTGCTCCCTTCATCTGCACCTGCACTATTAAAAAACATGCAGTGACACGATCACGTCCTTTATTGATGTACTTAAATAAGTACTTGATGGACCGGGATTGGTTGCACCACTCCACATTGATATGACCGCCATATTTCATCAACAAAAAACGATTGTGCGGAACCACAAATCTATTGTCAAGAGGAATATTATTTTTCTCAATGGTCCTACCATCGTCTCTTCGTCTATAAACCGGATATCCATCACCGTCAATAGACGTAACATTACACCAACTCTTAGGGAAATGTTTCGTACACTTCCCATCAGACATACATGGAGCAGACTTAACATATGGACCACACGGTCCGTGCATCATAAAATCACGAACTGCATTGTAATATCGTGGGTCCTTGTCTTTATCAGGAATTTCAGCTGAGATAACCTTATCAATGTCTGCTGAAGTTGGCAATTTATCCTCACTTGCTAGCCACAATAGTATATGTGCATGAGGCAATCCTCGCTTCTGAAATTCCACAGTGTACACCACTGCAAAAGGTAATTTTAAAAATTACTCTGACATTTAATAATGGTTAAAACCGAGGTATGTTCAGTTTGAAATGTACCTGCTTTAACACTACCAAACACCCTATTACGTCGCAAGTCTTTCAGAAGACCATCCAACTTTATCTTAAATACTCGGCATATGATATCTGGGCGATCTTCAGACTTAAGATTCCTACCATGCAAAAAACGTTCAATCTCAGGCCACTTTGGGTTGCATGTCAACGTGATGAATAAATCTGGATACCCCGCCCATCTACAAATAGCCATTGCATCTTGGTAGTTTTGTATCATGTATCTTGCACCACCAGTGAAGGTTGGGGGCAACACAATTCGTTTTCCTTGAGTCGCAGGATCACTCTCCCCGCGCAAAACAGCGTCACTCAAGCCCTTGTACATTTCACAACGAAGTTGCTTTTGATGTGTTCTAATGTACTTCAATCTTGCAGACTCTATCAAAGTGTAGCCATCAACGAAAAATTGTTGGAAAAGTCTTCTAGCCTTCAAAGTAATGGAATATCTGTATTCCCTCTCTTGCAAATGATAAGCCAAAAACTCTCTTATACTAACATTGCGTCTTCC